GCTAGGGGAGAACCCCCCAGTTCTGGTCAGAATGCACCAAATGATGTTCAATTTTCGAAATTTTCTGGGGGGAGGGGGAGAACTCAAACCCCCTATTCTCGCTCTGAAATTGGTCAGAATGCATCAAATTAAATGATGTTAAATTTTCGAAATTTGCCAGGGGAGAACCTCCCAGACCCCCATTTCTCGCCCGAAACTGGTCAGAATGCACCAAAGACGTTCTTCCCCCAGACCGGGCCCCAGATCCCCCTTTCTCGCGCTTGTTCGCTGGGGGGGGGGAGGGGGTACTGTCGGGGGTGGTTCGAGCCCCCCTTACAAAAAGCTGGCTACGGCCATGGACGCATCCCCCATGGGAAATTCCCTGTGGGTGCCAATGGGGTGCGCGTCCGAGGAGGGGCGTATATAGTCCACGAACATCCTAAAAATTCAGAAGTATCATATGATAAATTCGATTTTTTCCTCCTCTCTTATCAGTTTTCTAATCCTAATTGATTAATTCGAGTTTTGCTTTCCCCTCATCAGTTGTCTCCTTCATCTTTTTGTATTAATTATTTTTTTTCCCTAATAGTTATAAATATAAAAGGAGTTCTAATTTTGGTATGTTTTGGGAATTTGGTTTTGATGTTAACATGCAAGGGAATTATCTCCCACTCCCCCTTCTATTTTGTAGACAATATACAAGTTAAATAGCAGCGATTTATTCCGTGTTTGAATTCACTTTTACAGGATGTGTATTTTCAATTAGACTTGCTGATTGTTCGATCATTTAATTTATCTGAAGCCATTAGACAAAAAAATGTTTCAATTTTTAGAATATCTTTTGGCTTATATCATTTAAAAACACAATTTCTTAGTGAGTTAGATCCAACGGCTTCCCAAATCAGATTTATATTTATCATTCCTCTCTTGAAACGGTCCGATTTAATTCAGTGTCGGGCCGAGGGCAAACCTTTGAATGATGAATATATGTAACCGTTGATATTTTGAACGTACATGTATCAAGTTTAGATTCAAGGTACAAAATAACCAGTTAAGGTTTTTTCCAAGAGGTAGATAGGTTTGAGGGAAAAGAGTACTGTATATTCAAAATCCGGATCAAAACAACATTATATTGTTATTTGTTGTCCAGTTCTACGTATTGTAACGACCCAACTATATGTAATATTTTTTAGTGCCGTTACTTTTGTTTCAATTAAAGATTAGATTTGTAATCACTTTGTAATAATTTCATTCTATTAAGGAATATGTTATTAATTATTAATTAATTGAACCTGTCTCAGACATCTATCTTGTATTTTGTATATTAATTGTTAAGCCCTGAGTGTTTTGACGGTTCACACCTATTAGTAGAAGCCACAGAATTTCTCAGTTTGTTTTCTCATGTAATTATTTTTAGCTAATAGATTCATGCCAGTGAAATTTTAGTCCCATGCTCAGTTCAAACCAACTGTCTCTTCTGCTGGGATTTTGCAGGGACAAGATGCGCTTTTTGATTCTTTTGTTTTATCTTGATTTTATGGATTAAATCATATTAATTGGATATAATTTGGATATTATTTGGATAAATCATTGTTTTGGTAAGCTAGTCATCTATTAATTCTTCCCAATTCGTGTAATTTCATGTTTTTAAAGTGAAGTCATTTCCAAAATGTAAAAATTATCAGTTCATTTCAACTTCTCATATATTTGTAAGGTTCTGGCTAGAGCATTCAAATATTCTTTATAAAAATGATCGATGTAATTTATGTTAATTGATTTCATTCCGCAAGTCGTGGCTGGCATTGGTGTGTTGCTTCCTTTCTGCGCTACCCCTCCCGCTCGGCCAAGCGAGAGGAAAGATAGCTGCACTGGGAGCGACCATCCAACCTAGCAGCGCTGCCAGTTCTCCCCCAGGAGCGGTTGAGAGCGGCTAAGAAGTCGCAACATGACATTGCATTTATCTGCACCCCTTAGATTTGTTAGCGCATCAGTAATTCTCTAAGATTTGTTTTAATTGACACTTATTCTCATGATTTATCATTATTTTCCAACAAAATGATGTCATTTTAGTTAATAAAGAAACTATATTCTTATTGTAATTCAAATTAATTCATTATTCTGTTCGCTTTTTCCCATTTGACGGCTTCAGAGAGGGAGCGCCATCTGGGGATTAACCGTAACGCCCCCGGGAGTCAGGTTGTGCTATTTTGTTCGCTACGCTACCAACATCTAACAGTAATTAAAGAGCGCACTGCCCCTGGGGTGCTACAGTATTAATGCCGAATTATGCTGTTTGTTAGCAACATGATGTGGATTGATTTCTATATGGCAGGTTATTTTGATTTCAAAGGCCTATGGTAATATTGTTTTCATCAAATTATAGCTATTTATCAGAGATATCTAATATGCGGAATTAAAAATAGTACTTCATAAAACCTAACGCAACTCCATAGACTGCAATCAAGGCCCGAAATCAAGATAAGTCCCCTGAATATCCTGTCTGTGAAGAACCAAAAACCGCAATCAAACAAGTATTATGTGGTCTAGATTAATGATCAAGGAAATCAATTCGTGGGAATCATTATTATTGAGTTGATTGTATTTTTTGTTTACAAGAAAACGTTTCGTGCATATTGTACATTTAAGGCTTGCGCTAACCTGATATGTGAGTGTGTGGGGGTTTTGTTGACAGATCGCGATTTGGATCCCCGGGTTCGGATCATAAATTATTTTCACCAAGGCGCTTGCACACTCGTGTATCATTTGTCAGTCTGTAAAATATTCGTCATCTGTTATTAAAGTTCAACGCGTTTCTGAATCCCGCTATTTCATATCATAAAAAACTGCACGTAATGTTATTAGTCATTTAGGCCTATATTTCGTAATTTATTCTTTGAGGTCTATCCGTTACACTTAATTTCTCAGTTTCTAAACGTTTCATTCAATTTTGCTATAAAGGAGATTGAAGACTACAATTAAAGTGTATGTTTTACCAATCTTTTAACTTTTTTAAAAGTATTGGATTTTTGGGAGTAACGAGGTTCGGAGTAATAGCGTGTCGCTCCCCCTCCCGCCCCCACTCATTTTTATGTGTTAAACCTCATTTGATTTTTCATCAATTATCGTTAAATCACACTCTTTAATACATAAACAAATTCAAAATTATTTATCTTGGAGAAATAAAATATATATTTCATAATGAAGTTGGTCAGTATTGAATATTAAGTTTCACGGTCTGAAACCTCAAGGGCGGGAAATTGGATTAAATAAAACGAAATATAAATACTTAGTCACATCATATCAGTGCAAACAATTAACTATATTTATTTTTCTATGCGATATACACCTGATATTGATATCTTTCCTCTGACAATGTGTTATCTCATGGTCCGTTGACATCATCAAACTTGTGATTAACCAAAAGAGACCAAAAAAGATTGTAATACGCATCGGTAAGTCAACAAATCTAACCGTTAAATAAACAAACTTAGTTGTTCGTCTGCTGGTCAGAACTTGGTATCCGATTCGGATACCGACTTTCTGAGAATACTAATGATATGTAGGATCATGGGCTTTCAACTAGAAAGCCCATGGTAGGATCACCAGCCGTGATACTTTTCATAAAACAGGCATCTAGTTAGAAAATTATTGCAATTTTGATTAATATCGTCATTCACAGTATAACCCGCCTATGTTTATTCAAATATGCATTATTCATAAAATGTATAGACGAATATCATCTTTTCACTCTTGATTTGAATTGGTATCTTGTATCTAAAGTTGTCTTCATCTATATTATTGGATTAACACGAGCCTATGTAACCTAAACATATAAATACTAGTTGCCAGTCTACAAATTGAACATACAAAATGTAGCATATTCATTACACACTATATTAATAGAACAAGGTAATCATGTCATACCAATAGTTAGATGGTTAACTTATATTAACACAAAAGAATAATACACGATAATTGAAATAATAAACCTCGGTATTCGGGGCTAAAATCCAAGGATACCTGTACCATTACTCCAGTATACGCTGCAATACCATATCGGATACCTGTACCATTACTCAATAATAACCACAACTACGACCATAATAACAAGGTCAATACCGAGTTTATTGCAAGTTATTTTATACGATTTTGTCTTGTGTTTGTTTCATTTTTTGTTATTTTAGTGTTTTATTTATGATTGTCAAATAGTAACGTTCATAGTAGCTGTCTCAAAAGCTAAATTATTTTGCTAATACTAATTCAATCTTGAATCATTTTTTATGTTGCTCATACCTCTTCCACTCATAGAATAAATTACAAACTATGCAGAAACTACGCCACACAACCTCGGATCTAATAAATATTTTGATATACTTGGAAGTTCTGAACCAAAAATAGATTGATGACATCATGATTTATACAAATAAGCTAATTTGCATAATTGAACATCGTAACCATACCGGTTATTCAATTCGGATTAATTTGATACCAAGATCTCTTCTATAGACCAAATAATGAAAAAGCTACCAAACATTTCAATTCTAAGGTAAGATGTTTAAAGTTAATTGTTAAATGATAACGTTCATGGGAGCTTAATGAAAGCTTAACAACTTTGTCAGTTCTGATCCAATTTTGAATCTGTTTTCACTTTTATGTTGCTTAAACCTTCTGCTCATAGAATAAAAGTCATAACATTGAAGAAATTCTACCGTATGGCTTCAGTTCTTAAAGATACATGGGAAATATAATTTCTATAGACAAAGGAATGACAAAGCTACACATGATTTAAGATTCCAAGGTAAGATGTCTATAAATGCGTAACCATGGTAACGGAATGCTACAATACAGAGCAACCAATGAGAGTTTGCAAAGGCATCCGGCAGAAAATTGAACCTCAAAGTGTTACCTTTCAAAAAGGTATGGATGCCGATACGACCGATACGTTGGGTAATTTTTTTGAAACGATAGAGAGGCATGGGTTTCTGACTATAAGCTTCCCATTTGAGAAAACAATCACTTACCTTTGTGTGTAATTGTTTATAAGTCAAAGCCGCTATCTCAAATGGATATATAAAAGCGGTTCTCTCGGGAAAATGTGTCACGGCATAATCCAAGGCCCCACCCATTGTCAAATCAAGGAGTAGTTTGTCCGTGGGACCCTCACAAAAACTTGTTGTCAGCATTTTAACTTTGGATCCCCAAATGCACTGAAGGGAGACCTTGATTGAAATCCAATTGTTTATTTCTCTTGTTTAGTTTATTATCTTATTTATCTCATAAAAGTGCATGCTTACTCGTAGAAGTAAATTGCTATGTACCTTGTGACATTAGTATGTGTTTACATAATGTAGATATCTGATCATATGACACACTTGTAAGTGTAAGAAGAAGTGAGGGCCTATAAGAGAAAGTAACGGATGTTACATTCTCTTCCAACATGGCGGAGAGTATGTCACACAATTGATTTCGATAATTTTAATTTTCTTCGAATAAAACTTTTTGCCGTATACATGCATTTAGCTTTGAAATTTCATCCATATGAAATCTGCACGTGTGACAAAGATCTTGATTTAGTTACTATCATATCATGTGTGTACGCCACGGTTCAACGATATATTCTTCCGCTTAGGGTACGATAAAGTGAATTACGCGTTACCTTGCCCTAAAAGATGAAATACATCGTTGGATCGTGGTGTACATATGCTATATACAGGGGTGGATCTAAAAACTACGAAGGGGTGGGGCTTTTATAAAATATTGGGCCTTAATTTTGACGATTTAAAGTTGTAATTAAACTATTTTACTCGATTTAGATATAAATGTATTTATGCAATCTTACCATATGAAGACCACACTTTACGATAGTTAACCATCAACACTTCCAAAAGTTTATTTTATCATGATATCGCTATGGCTCAGTGGCAGACAAGGTTACCAATATCATATCGCTTGGCCCCGGATTCGATTCCCGGTTCAGACAATGTTGTTTGTGCGTTATGTAATTCTGGGTGTTTGACTTAGTGGTTCACGACTCGTTTAAAAGGCTATGGTGTGTACCTGTATGTCTGTGTACCTGTGCACACAAAAGAACACAGTGCTCCTCCAAGGAGGGGTTTCTGGCTCTGTCTTCGAGTGTAAAATGCGTAAAATACGTAAAATACGGAATATACCAATGAGGTATTGCTCGCCAAATATGGCGGTAACCAATATATAATAATAATCGGGCATATGAAATCAGCAGGTGTCTGTTTTCGCGGCAAAACTGATTTAATTTTCAGAGCAGAAATTTTACGTCACGCGACATGACGTTTGTGGTTGAAACAATTTGCTACGAAATACGAGTTAGTAAATAAATATGAAACCCTGGCTATCGAAAACGAGTTATTTACTCTTATGTTGAGCCAATGACTGCGGCTATTCTCATTAATTTGCGAAGGGTATAATATCATGCAATTGAGCCGAGCTGAAACGCTATTGAAAGCATGTAATTATAGAATTTACATTACAGCAAACTTTGTCAGTGTTTGGGGGTTAAAACTTTTTAACCCGAATGTATTGCTGTAAGGCCAAAAATATTATTATTTGGTGTGGACGAAATGTCAAAGCCGAATGTTCATGGCAAAATGATTTAATTCGATGGAACCAAAAATATCGAAATCGACATTATAACCGTCAGCCATCTTGTAAGAGAAGTTAACAGCCATTACTTTGTCCTGATACATACCGATCAATGAACACAGTGTCGCTGAAATAGGACAATGACGTATCACATGAGCTGAACATTTTTGATAAGACTCGACCTTTTTATGCAGACTTGATAAACAAACCCTCGTGCTCTTTTGTATATCACGCCTGGCCTAGTAGTCCTGTTTTTGAGTATAGTCCGGTGATCAATTGTACAAGCGATCACATTTATACCAAATAGATATATATTTTTTACTGTTTTTGATGGTGTTACAAGATGATACAACTGTCACAAAAGAAGAAATTTGCTACAGATAATTTTGAAAATAGTGCAGTATAGTATTCCGTTATTCCGAGTAATTGGATAGCCTATCAACAAGATGGAGATTAACGAACCCACGTCGAATGGTCATGCTTCAGATAACAACAACATTAAAGCGATAAACGACGATGAGTATCTATCAGGTTTGTCCGTTTATTAATCATCCATATCGAACAACTTTTAGGCCAGGATGCATGTTCGGAATTTTTCTGCATTCCTCAAGTGAGTCACATGTTATTTTTCAAACAGGAATCACTCCTTGCACACATTGTCTACATCTTTCAGTTTTGCACAAAGAGTGCACTTATGTGCCTAGAAAAGACTGGTGAGAAGATTTGTTTTGTAAAATGTATAAAAAACGAGAAAATTCAGTGAAAAAAAATTCTGAAAATTATCTGAATTTTTTCACTGAATTTTCTTGTTTTTAGTTATAAATATATATTATCAAAACATTCTTCTTTGCATTCTTTTTTTCTAGGTACATTAGTGCACTCGTTGTGCAAAAGTGAGAGATGTAGACACTGTGGGGTGATTCAAATTGGAAAAATAACATGTGACACTATTGAGGGTTGCAGCAAAATTCCGAACATGCACCCTGACCTTAATTTTTATGTTCAAGTTAAAAAGTTGAAAATCTTATCATTTTCAAGATTGAGCCATCAGCAAAAGTAATCAAATAACTTTATATTCAAGGTAATTTGATAAATAGACCAAAATGTAGGCAAAACAGACAGGCTATGGGGTGAGATCTGATTATTAGTCCCGATTCCGACAAATGTTTGTCACAGCTCGAGATATAATGAATCTCAGATACACTGTCACGTAATTTTATAGGGCTCGCGGGATAGTCGCGATCACAAACATGTTAATCCCGTATGAGCACTTTGTAGCACTTGAGCCGCGGGATAGTCAGGTTTCCAAACACACTGTTCCGTAATTTTTTTTCGAAAACGCTGGGATATAATTATTTGAGACCTGACATATCCCAGCGCTTGGTAAAAAAATTTGCTGAGGGATAAAGTGATTTCAGAACTTGACTAATGCTGATCAAAGTATATGCTATCAAGCCATCACACAACTCTATGTAATTACCATATTATATTACCCTTGCAAAAAATTCCATTTTACATCTTTGTACTGAATTATATCAACATCAGTCTTTTATCTTTGAAATGTTGCAAAAGTTTATTGGGAGGGGTTGCATGTACACACTTGATTCAAAATGCTATTGTTTGTGTGTGTGTGTGGGGGGGGGGGCATCTCCACACTTGACTCACATCATGGTCTATATATGGGGTGGGGTGAAAAGTGTAAGTAAACATCATAAACGATAGTTCCATTCGAGGGTCTTTTCAAACCACTCTTAAATTTTTGTCAGAAGGCAGGTCAAAAAAAGGTGAAACATAGTTATAAGGATTGAGTCATTCTTACTTTCAAATACAAATGTAAATCAAGCAGTTCTTGCATCCAACTGAATATTGCAAAATGTCATGAAATGCTTGATCTGTTGTAGATTTCTTGCGAAACCATCGGGACTTTGATGTTGATAAAGTCCAAAGTGTGCGAGAAATCCGTGAAATAGCTGAGAACAAATTATCGCAGAACGCGAGCCTATACTACAATTGTGGATCTGGACTCCATGAGCAGACCCTTCTGGACAACGAGCTTGCATTCAAACAATACAGATTTAGACCAAGAGTTCTAAGAGATGTTGCCGTACGAGACATGACCACTTCTGTATTGGCAAGCAAGGTGGATCTACCATTTGGTATATCTCCAACAGCTCTGCATAAATACGCCCACGATGATGCCGAACCAGCTGTTGCAAGTGCAGCTCGACATTTGAATGCTCTACTCGTATGTAGCACTTTTTCAAGCAAAAGCCTCGAGGAAATAGCCGAGTCTGCCCCCAAGTCTATAAAATGGTTCCAAACATATATCTTTGAACCGAGGGATATCACGTTGAACCTTGTCAAACGTGCTGAAAAGGCGGGTTTTAAAGCAATTGTAATAACCGTTGATCATCCTCTTACGCCAAAACGACCATACAAATACAAATATACAGTGTTGAATAACTTTTTACCCGAACTCTTCTTTGGTAATTTTGGCATGGGTGACGATACAGAGCCATTCAATGCATCTGTAACATGGGACGACATTGATTGGTTGAGAGGAGTTACAGCGCTACCTATTGTTGTAAAGGGAGTGTTGACACCAGATGACGCTGTGATAGCTGTACAGCATGGTGTACATGGTATATGGGTGTCCAACCATGGTGGCAGGTATGTTGAATCTAGTATTTTCCTAAAGGGCTCCGTGGCCATCCGTCCGTCCATCCGTACGGTTATTAAAATACTCTTATCCGGTGTGAAGGTTTTTACTAAATCTAGGACTATAATCCCCAATGGTCTTATAAATATAAAATGGTAGGAATGAAGGTCCTCTTGAAACCATGAACACTAGGATTCACAATCCATAGGTTATTAGTCCACCCGTGTAGCTCAGCGGTAGCACAGGTACCTCTTACGCAATAGGTCCCGGATTCGATCCCGGGTTCAGGCAAGACTAAATTTGCTTGTTTGCGTGAAGTACTTCAGGGTGTTTGGCTGAGTGGTCCGCAACTCGTACTGAAGGCTGTGGTGTGTACTTGTATGTCTATGTATAAGTGCACATAAAAGAACACAGGACTCCTTCAAGGAGGGGTTTCTGGGTCTATCTTCTATGTTAATTAGTACGTAAATTACGACCATATATATACGGGACATACCCAAGAGGTATTGCTCACCTTCATTGGTGGTAAACAAAATACAATACAATACAATACAATTTGGACAGTGCTTCCGGGGGAGTACTATCACTTTTACACCGTGTCTACACCCACGAAATCTCGTTAATAAAAATCCTTCGATGAAATAAAGTCTTATCAACAAAATGCTGATAATTATCTAGTGTCAAACAAAAACCTCCTTTAACTTCGTTAAGGTTTTATGTCCTGTTGCAAAACCCCTGTCTTCAATGCTCAGAAATAGTAATATTGACAGTCCTTTATCTGTTTTTTCAAATTGAGCAAAATCCCTTGGAGTTTTAGTAAGTTATGGCTGAGTTAAACAGGGGCCCTTTTATGAGCAAAACTCCTATAAAAAATCCGATTTAGAAATTCACTATGATATGCTCTCTTTAAAGATAACTACACACATTTCTACTAGAAAAACATAATATGGTCATTCATTGGTTAATTTTCGCTATTATCGGGTCACTCAATTTAAGTATATGAAAGTTATTAAGGGTGTAATCAAGGGTTTATTTTTTATTTTAATTTTAGTTTTTATATACATTTATTTTGTTTCATAGAAATCTGCGCAAGGGATTTACTTTCAATTTTTAGAAATGCACAGTATCATGCAAAACAACACCCTAAAAAAAAAATTGTATCTGGCATATTTTTTAAAACTAATTATCTGTTTTTGAACACTTTCTTGAACGCTTTCACATTTTACATGCTACCGATAAGAATATGGACCTCAAAAGAAAAAATGGTAAAAAAACGGTGACGTTAGGGGGGTCGAAAGTTGCGGCCTATACTACCTATAATGATTGGAAGAGACAGGATTTTTATATCAAAGTAACACTTTATATGCCATTTGAAGAATGTTACCCTATTTTCTGTACTTTATTGCTATTTTTACTGTTATTGAAAATTGTGGATGTACGTTTGGAGACCGTACGGAGACCGCAAGGCGACCGTACTGCTACGCTCGCCGCAGAATTTAATTGATCTTCGGTCGACGTATGGCCGTCGCACGACAAATTTGACTTATGTTTTACCCATTTAAATCCCACGGCAGACGCAAGTTGAGCGTAAGCCCATCGTGCGGCCACTGTGGACTCTCTCTGCGGTATGGATGGAATCTAAATAGATGGAACTGGCAAATAGTTAAACAAAATTACTCAACCTAGGCATATCTGACACTTCAATATGATACCTATTCTGCATTAGAGAAATGCGAATATGTGAATGTTTGAAATATATCATATACTTTGTTAAGAAAACTATTGTTCAACAGAGAAATTAGGACTGATAAAGGGTAAAAAATGTCGAAAGTAATCCTTTCAAAAAGCATGCCAATGTTCTGTCGAAATCATATTTTAACACTTTACTGACCCTCCAATGATTTGTTTTCCCGACCCTGGACACTCATTTGTTTGATGCGATGTGTTTACATACTCAGTTTCCAAACACAAATAAATTCAAAGTTATAGAAGTCTTAAATATGAAGCCTTAATATCACAAATTAAGTTAATGGTCATTGGCTTACACTTTATATGATTTCAGACAGTTAGATGGTGCTATCGCATCGGTCGATGCCCTACCAGATATAGTAGCTGCGGTGGAAGGACATTGTGAAGTGTATGTAGATGGGGGCGTGAGACATGGCTATGACGTACTGAAAGCTTTGGCTCTCGGTAATATACTGTACATCAATTATCAATGTTGTGTATCTAAAATGTTTTTATATATATGATTTGATGACCAAGTTATCTTAACATAAAGCCCGGTTGTGTAATTTTCAGTGGAACATTTATTGTAAAAAACTAAATGGGCATAGCTGTAGCCAGGGTAGGGGGTTATTTAACCAATAAAATACAAACATGAGATAGAGGAAGAAAATAGCTTTAGAATGCTTCTAGCTCAATTTTGAAGGAAGTTACAACATTTTTTTGCTACGCCCATGATACCCCAAAACAGATCTTTTTTCCTCACTTATGCCACGACCGCAAGTTAATGACACAAGGCAAAATCGTATAAAATAACTTGCAATAAACTCGGTATTGACCTTGTTATTATGGTCGTAGTTGTGGTTATTATTGAGTAATGGTACAGGTATCCGATATGGTATTGCAGCGTATACTGGAGTAATGGTACAGGTATCCTCGGATTTTAGCCCCGAATACCGAGGTTTATTTTTTCAATTATCGTGTATTATTCTTTTGTGTTAATATAAGTTAACCATCTAACTATTGGTATGACATGATTACCTTGTTCTATTAATATAGTGTGTAATGAATATGCTACATTTTGTATGTTCAATTTGTAGACTGGCAACTAGTATTTATATGTTTAGGTTACATAGGCTCATGTTAATCCAATAATATAGATGAAGACAACTTTAGATACAAGATACCAATTCAAATCAAGAGTGAAAAGATGATATTAGTCTATACATTTTATGAATAATGCATATTTGAATAAACATAGGCGGGTTATACTGTGAATGACGATATTAATCAAAATTGCAATAATTTTCTAAAGAGATGCCTGTTTTATGAACAGTATCACGGCTGGTGATCCTACATATCATGAGTATTCTCAGAAAGTCGGTATCCGAATCGGATACCAAGTTCTGACCAGCAGACGAACAACTAAGTTTGTTTATTTAACGGTTAGATTTGTTGACTTACCGATGCGTATTACAATCTTTTTTGGTCTCTTTTGGTTAATCACAAGTTTGATGATGTCAACGGACCATGAGATAACACATTGTCAGAGGAGAGATATCAATATCAGGTGTATATCGCATAGAAAAATAAATATAATTAATTGTTTGCACTGATATGATGTGACTAAGTATTTATATTTCGTTTTATTTAATCCAATTTCCCGCCCTTGAGGTTTCAGACTGTGAAACTTAATATTCAATACTGACCAACTGAGTATTCACAGAAATATAGGCCTAAATGACTAACAGAAACGCATTGAACTTTAATAACAGATGACGAATATTTTACAGACTGACAAATGATACACGAGTGTGCAAGCGCCTTGGTGAAAATAATTTATGATCCGAACCCGGGGATCCAAATCGCGATCTGTCAACAAAACCCCCACACACTCACATATCAGGTTAGCGCAAGCCTTAAATGTACAATATACACGAAACGTTTTCTTGTAAACAAAAAATACAATCAACTCAATAATAATGATTCCCGCGAATTGATTTCCTTGATCATTAATCTAGACCACATAATACTTGTTTGATTGCGGTTTTTGGTTCTTCACAGACAGGATATTCAAGGGACTTATCTTGATTTCGGGCCTTGATTGCAGTCTATGGAGTTGCCTTAGGTTTTATGAAGTACTATTTTTAATTCCGCATATTAGATATCTCTGATAAATAGCTATAATTTGATGAAAACAATATTACCATAGGCCTTTGAAATCAAAATAACCTGCCATATAGAAATCAATCCACATCATGTTGCTAACAAACAGCATAATTCGGCATTAATACGTAGAACTGGACAACAAATAACAATATAATGTTGTTTTGATCCGGATTTTGAATATACAGTACTATTTTCCCTCAAACCTATCTACCTCTTGGAAAAAACCTTAATTGGTTATTTTGTACCTTGAATCTAAACTTGATACATGTACGTTCAAAATATCAACGGTTACATATATTCATCATTCAAAGGTTTGCCCTCGGCCCGACACTGAATTAAATCGGACCGTTTCAAGAGAGGAATGATAAATAGAAATCTGATTTGGGAAGCCATTGGATCTAACTCACTAAGAAATTGTGTATTTAAATGATATAAGCCAAAAGATGTTCTAAAAATGGAAACATTTTTTTTGTCTAATGGCTTCAGATAAATTAAATGATCGAACAATCAGCAAGTCTAATTGAAAATACACATCCTGTAAAAGTGAATGCAAACACGGAATAAATCGCTGCTATTTAACTTGTATATTGTCTACAAAATAGAAGGGGGTGGGAGATAATTCCCTTGCATGTTAACATCAAAACCAAATTCTCAAAACATACCAAAATTAGAACTCCTTTTATATATATAACTATTAGGGAAAACAAATAATTAATACAAAAAGATGAAGCAGACAACTGATGAGGGGAAAGCAAAACTCGAATTAATCAATTAGGATTAGAAAACTGATAAGAGAGGAGGATAAAAATCGAATTTATCATATGATACTTCTGAATTTTTAGGATGTTCGTGGACGCGCACACCATTGGCACCCACAGGGAATTTCCCATGGGGGATGCGTCCATGCCCGTAGCCAACTTTTTGTAAGGGGGGCTCGAACCACCCCCGACAGTACCCCCTCCCCCCCCCAGCGAACAAGCGCGAGAAAGGGGGATCTGGGGCCCGGTCTGGGGGAAGAACGTCTTTGGTGCATTCTGACCAGTTTCGGGCGAGAAATGGGGGTCTGGGAGGTTCTCCCCTGGCAAATTTCGAAATTTAACATCATTTAATTTGATGCATTCTGACCAATTTCAGAGCGAGAATAGGGGGTTTGAGTTCTCCCCCCCCAGAAAATTTCGAAAATTGAACATCATTTGGTGCATTCTGACCAGAACTGGGGGGTTCTCCCCTAGCAAATTTCGAAAATTTAACATAATTTAATTTGATGCATTCTGACCAATTTCAGAGCGAGTATAAGGGGATCTGGGGGGTTCTCCCCCCCAGATCGCGGAAATGATGCGTACAGCCGAACGACCCCCTCAACGACCAACAAATCTCCCAAAATCATACAGTTTTTTTGAGCAGTTTCAAGTGGTTTTTAGGACCAAAGTTTTCAAAAGTGAACCCCTTGGATTCTTGAAAAGTAGCCCCCTTGATAAAAACTGATTACGGTTTTTGTTCTTAAGAAACTGTTATATTCATCTTAGTTTGAGGAAATAAATGCGTATTACTGGATTGAGACATTTGATGACACAGTGTCTGTTTCCCGTCAGCTGCATTGATTGCATCATCATGGGAAAACGGGATTGAGTCTATATTGAACTTATTAATTAAAAATCAACGGAGGTTTTGCTCATTCACCTCTTTAAGTGGTTAGGAATATCAAATAACTCGGACGTTGCTTTCTTGATCATAAATGTGAACCCCCTTGTCGGGGTTCAGCCCCCCCACATAACATGACATAAGCTTGGTACGGGTCTGCACTTGGACTAGCCTTTAACCCATGTTTTAAGAGTCAATTATCCATTTAAAATCATAGCCTTGTAAATAACTGCTTTTGACACTAATCTGTGGATTTGGAAATAAGTCCCCGATAATCCCTTATTTCTCCAGAATGTCTGTTTCTGTGTGCCCCCCCCCCCAGTAACAAATCTACATGTATATTATCTCCATCCCAAAGGTGATCCGAAATTTGAAAAAGCAGAAGCGTATATGGACATTGGCAAGGTTATAGGGGAAGCGGGCTGTTACCCTTCACATTGTTACACTATTATTCCAAGTTCCGGATATACAATTTGTATATGAACTTTACAGCATCTTTTTCTATCGATTTTAACGATTATTTCAGGAGCGAATATGGTATTCATAGGGAGGCCTCCAATCTGGGGCCTAGCAGCTGGTGGGGAGAGGGGAGTAAGGAGGGTGTTAGAGATATTGAGGGACGAACTGAGTGAGGGAATGGCACTAACGGGATGCGCAGAACTAAGTGACATTAGCAAGGAAATGGTTGTGAAAAAGACATATCGTTAAAAACACTAAACAAAAGAAGAAATAATATACAAATAATAACAATAATAACATCTTTGTCTACATACCCATGAGCTACAATAGAGGGGTCGGGTAAAATCTGTAGAAGTGTATGCATATTATAAAAATAGTGACTGCCATTGTGTTAAATAGTGTACAAATAGTGACTGCCATTGAGGGATATAGTGCAAAATATTTTCCTCGAGGGAATATCCTGTCCACTGACATGTTCCCGAGGCTGCAGGCCGAGGGAACAAGTCAGTGGACAGGATATTCCCGAGAGGAAAATTTTTACACTATTTCCCGAAAATGTGGCAGTCACTATTTGTTTTATTATATACCTTATAAGTACTCTGTAAACAAAAACAAAATGAGAAGTCTTTTCATTTCAATATCAAAAGTTCACAGGTTCTTATTGGCATTTTACCTTTCAACTCCTATAATCTCAGATTTGGGGGAAGATAAAATGTACTATTGACTGGTCACATGACCTAACTGGTGATTAGTATAATTCATCTTCCCTGAAAGCAGGGATTTAGGACTTTCCAGGGAATTAGTTCATCTATTCCATGTCATGTGACCATGAATAAGCCAATGAGCATCTAGAATACATTTGAGGTATATAATAATGCAAAATATTTTTCCCGGTGGAATATCCTGTCCACTGACATGAACAAATCAGTGGACAGGATATTTCCACGGGGAAAATTTTACACTATTTCCCAAAAATGTGGCAGTCATTATTTGTTTTATTGTATACCCCATATGTACTCTGTAAACAAAAACAAAATGAGCAGTCTTTTCATTTCAACATTTAATGTTGACAGGTTCCTATTGGCATTTAAAGGTATTTTAAAGGTATTAGTTCATCTATTTCATATCATGTGACCATGAATAAGCCAATGAGCATCTAGAATACATATTGATGATGTTCAGATTGTGTTTGAAACTTGATGATGATGAGATTATGTTTGAAACTGGATGTTGTTCAGATTGTGTATATGAACTTTAAAAGGACCACTGAAACAACAAGTCAATGTTTAAAATTCTTTAAATTTATGTCAATGAGAAATTAGCCTGTTAACCTATACTTTAGCAAGATTTCCAAATCTCATCATTTGCAACAGATATGAATTGGCCTTATTCATTGATTTACTGTAAAATTGAATATCACGAAGAACAAGAGAACTGTTCCACAGCTTCAAAGGAAATATGGAAGCAAAGTCAACAAGGGATGTGGGAACTAGGCTGTTCACATAGAGGGATTTAGAACTCTCCAAGAAAGTGTCTCTATTTGGTATAAAATACACAGGTCTATTCATGCACTCCATTTCAAATATGAATCAAAATTAGTGATATCCATGTTTCTGGCGAAAGCATCAATTGAAAGAGACAAACATCCTACTCCTATGGTATAAATAAAATATAAGAAAGTTCGAAGCAGTAAAAAGGTATTACCATTTTAGATTTGATTGAATAAATTGAATCAGAGGCAATTTTTAAATTTCGATATTTTAAAAGAGTTGGTTAGATGGGAGAATTAGCTGCATGTTAAAGGTGGCGCTTTGTTCAGTTTATAACAAAATTGATATTTAGCCCGAAACAGTAATAAATATGAAGCAAATATTTCATTTTATGGAGGGCAATACCTGTTCATCTTTCAATGATTTTTGCAATATGTATTGCCCGCAGCCCGTAAAAAGGCAGTTGTCAGAATCCCCAGGCGGGCAATATGCCGGGCAATACATATTTTAGATGCCAATAATTCAGGGAGCTGTGAAATACGCTATGGTATTTTTAGTCACATGGTACTGAATTAGCCAATCAAATCACACAATTTAGCAATGATGTTATAATTAGTGCTACTTCCATGAACACCCGTTTTGTAGAATAAGATTCTGATTCTCGTATTTGGTATATAGATGATTTAGACAAAGGCAAATCCAATTGAACATCTTGTTAGGCATCAAACAAAGGTACAAGCTATATATCATTTCTCAAAATGGCCACTTTACTAAAGATTATATGTATCACGTTTTTAATGTATTTATATATGAATATATGAATAATTGTATACTTTTTTATGTAACTATGGCAGCCATCATTTCATAAAATTGATAAAATGACATATTCTAGACAAAGATAGCCATTTGCCATCATAAACTATGAGGAATTATGACTCATAAAGTTAACTATGGAGATTCGGGGTAGTAATGGAACATACGTTATATGGAAACTGTAACTGTCATACCTGATTATGAAGTTCAGGAGCATTGATGTTACAGCATCAGGGCATATTACGTATAATATTAAGTTACTTAGGTATAAGTTATAAATTATGACCATCATTTCTACTGTGCCAAAATCATTCAACCAATTTTACAATGGAATACGAGAAAAAATTTCTTATTTTAGGTTATATATTCATATGTGTAATAATAATTGATATTAAACATATTTACTTTTATTGTTTTTATACACTACACATATTTGTTTAATGTTTAGATATTATTTTAAGTTTCAACATAACAAACCACTATCCATATTGAAGGAATCACTGAAGGTACAGCATTTCAGAAATGTGTGAAATTGTTTATATTTCATTATTTTGCGAAATACCAAAAGGAGTTATACCCGTACCTTGTTAACCATGTGTCAATGAAGGCTGCTGGCATCATATAATATATGCAAAATGATGCACTATGCAATTCATACATGGAATAATTTATTTTGCCATATTGGAATCAAGTATTATCTTTAATCCATTGGATAGATCATGCATTACCTGATGTTGATGTATTGATAATAGAATCAGTTAGTCAATTGTGAGACACCATTTGTCTGAGAAAATAAGAAATCTTATTTGTGTATTAAGGCAGGGCGTAACATTTCACCTATCATTTATTTATGTTTACTACATCCCCTTCACTAGTTAGTATAGCCTTCCCTTTTAAAACGGTGTGAGATATTGTTGAACTGTGGTGCTCATGCACGATATATGAAAAATTATCATACTCCATAGTTCCATGTCATTTAAGCCTGATTTGGTACAAATGTCAAAGCATAATGTCAACTCTAAAGTAGTTTAATTCAATGAAAATTAAAAATATCTAAATCGACAATTACTGTCCGTAGTGTCCGCCATCTTAGATGCGAAGGTTACGGCCGTTACAGTGCTTGGTACTGATCAGTGTCCTTGTTCTGTTACAAATTTTCATTGCCCTCTGTTTGTAACCCCTCCCTCCTTCTCGATTAAGGCCGTGAATATGAAGATGATTTTAAGGTAATATGAGAGATACTAGTGAAGGTTTGTTATATGATAAATGAGTTCATATAACTTAATCCAAGTCATAACTGTTACTAGTATGCAAATCACACCAGCATGAGATAACATCATACTCAAAGGATAGAACAGTCCATTACTTTTCCATTGAATAAAATGGCTCTCGCCCTGACAAATGTATTAATCAATTTTAACCCATAGCTCTTGATCAATGGAACCATTTATATTCTAGGTACAAGTCAATGAATACGACTTTGACAAACAACCTCTAGGACTTTGACTAAAAGTTAATTTGACCATTGATGACCTATGATAGGGAAGGGTCATGATAACACTTATATAAAATATTTAAAGTATCTAACAATGATAATGAACATATCATATCAGTTTTTTGCTGATCGAATCAGGAAGCATTTAATTGACAATAATCTTCTTTTCAAACATCAGTCCGGATTTTTACCAGGTCATAGTACTATTCATCAACTTTTATCGATTGAACATTTTCTTCAGAGCACATTTGAACAAGGAAAAGCTTCCAAAACAATTTTTCTAGATATAGCGGCTGCATTTGACAGAGTACCACATAAGCTACTACTTCATAAACTTTCAGCATATGGCTTCCAAGGGCAAATTCAAAAAATTATCAAATCTTAAAAATCAAAACCTTACTAACAGAAAAATTGCTGTACAGATATCTGGGGAACTTTCAAATTATTCTGAAAATGACTTTATCAATTGTGGTGTCCCCCAGGGCTCAATACTTGGGCCAATATTATTTCTCCTATACATTAATACCTTCCAGACAATCTGGAGGGGCATTGCTATATTTATGCGGATGACACTTCTCTACATCATCCTTTTGACCCTAAGCATCCACAAGAAGTAGATGCAATAGCCAGATCTAACCTAATTAAAATTGAAAAATGGTCTGACACCTGGAAATTGGAGTTTAAACCTGAAAAGAGTTCTGAAATGATATTCCACTCATCCAGATCTAAAGTCGATAATGTTTCTGTTTCAAAGTTAAACAATGTTGAAATTACCAGAGATCACGAGCACAAACATCTGGGATTTACTTTTGACCCAAGCTTATCATATGACAAGCATATTGGAGAAATCATATCAAAAATACGAAAAATGTTGAACCCTTTAAAGAAACTTAAATATAAGTTAGGTAGTAAGCATCTAGAAACCATATTTAAGTCCTTTATTTTACCCCATTTTGACTATGGTGCTATCATGTACAGCACAGCCTCAAAGTTCCTATTACAACGACTCGACAGTCTTTATTATAAAGCTGCACTTTATTGTTCTGGGTGTATCCAAGGGAGCAGTTCAAAAAAGGTTTTAAACCTACTCAATTGGCCAACTCTTGAATCAAGACGCAGTATCCAGATTAACAACTTTATGTTCAAAATTGTAAATGGTACAAGTCCTCCCTATGTAACTGATATTTTTGACAAATTTAGAAACCATGCAAACAGAGTATTGAGATATAATGAAGCATTTAAAATGCCCATTAGATGCTCAAATAGATTCTCCACCTCAGCAATACCAGCTGCAATTTCAAATTGGATCAATCTTCCACCTGCTATTAAATCTAAGAATACTCTTTCGAATTTTAAAAAACACCAAAGAGTACATTTCCAAAAAACGCCCTCGATTTTGTCAACAAGCCAGCTTAATCTAACAATAGTTCTCAATAAAGTGAGAGCTGACCTATACTTCAAAGCCCAGTTCTACGCTCACAACTTTCAGTCTAATTGCACTTGTGGAAAACCACAAACTCTGAAACATTTTCTCTTTCAATGTGACTTACTTACTATACAAAGACAGCAATTCATGGACAAACTCACTGATCTCGAACCAAACATTGGATTGGCCGC